TCGGTTCGTCGACTTTATAATCATCGTTTCGTATCTTTGTATCCTTGAAGTCGTTCCATCGGGTTTCGAAAGGTAAAAATCTATCGTGTTACAAATTTATAGTGGACTCGTGGTATTAGAAGTGTCCCCTTGGAGTGGATGCTAACAAGAGGAGTGGATTTCCTAGTTTCCCTTTCAATCTTGCTTTGAATCGAACGACTGATTGTGGTTTATTTTTACGATTGGAAAATAACAGTATGAGTGACCAAGTGGACGAAGTTTCGTTGTGAACATGTTCGTTCTTATGCTTCTTCTTCTTCTTTTTTTTTTTAAATAATAACGAGAAATGAAGAATACGTATATAATTGGAAAAATATTGATTGGATGAAGGAAATCTATATTCATATTTATTTAAGTTAAGTAAGTTAATTGTGAATTATAAGCGTGGAACTTTTACAAGTATGAATAAGTGATTGTAACTTATGAAGATTATTTCAATTGATAGCTACAATGTGACTATATATTTACAATGTGGTTTAATAAGGATAAGGGTAAGAGTGTGATATGATAATTTACGAAGCTACTTTCGGTTCTACTTATTTATTATTATTATTATTGAAGATGTTCTTTCAAATTTCGTTATGATTTTACGAAACACTACGTGTGTGGATACACGTATCGTAAGAAAAAGGCTCAGGATGAATGACCATTCAGTGCAGAAATACGGTTTACATTAATTTCACTGACCCTGAATCTTCTCCATCTGCCAAGAATTAAGATACGTGCTGAGCAATTCCAAAAGCTTGCTAAATCTAATTAAATACACGATCCTTTCTCTCGTATTACTTTCTGCAAGAATTGGATAAATGATAATTATGTATTATAGCGTTACATTCGAATTTTTAAGAAAATATATCGAAATAAAAATTGAACGTGTTAAAATATTGAAAAAAGATATATTAACGCGGTATATTGTTCAAATAATCTAGAGAAATATTGAGTGAACAAAGTGTTGATGATCGATCGATCGAAAACGGTATAGGCACGACGCGTGTCCATATTTGGGTCATAATATGGGTCACGAATTTTTCACCTCGACGCAACCAGTACAATTGTATTCAGCGACGATAAAAACACACGTGTCTCCATTCCCAAGACAAGCTACAGTTACAGTATCAACAACATGGCACACAGTTTTTTCTAATCAACCGCGAAATAATTAGCTGATCACGCGCTTGTTTCTTCTTCTTCTTCTTGGAAATAATTTAAGGACTTTCGAAAGCCGTCACTGATTACCACTATCGTGGGAAATTTGACATTCGTTTCGCCTCTTATTACGACCTATGATCCCGTTTAATCAAACTTCTTATTCGCAATATTTAAATTCTCGAATGTACGAAAAGAGAAAATTGCAAAATTTAAAATAATCGTGATAAGAATAATTTAAATATTTTGAAAGATTCTCGATTGTTGTGTTGCAAGTATTAAATTTGCTCGAATCGTAAATAGACATACGGAACAACGATTAAAAGAACAAACAGGATATACATTTTGGTAGTCGAACTGCATTAGAGAAGCACTTGCTTCGCAGTCGGTTTAAATAATTGTTTCCGCTGCGTTTTAAATGGCGGTAGATTGACTCAAACGGATCATTGGCTACGTCGAAGTGACAGAGTTAATATTCGTATTCTGTTTATACCAATACCGCAGATATATCTCCAGATTCTCAAGAAGATTTAATACGAAAGATTATACTCTATGATTCCGTTAGCCAAGCACTGTTTTTGAGATAAAAAAAAGATTAATTCGATACAGTTGCTTCCAAGTAAGAAGAAGACACTTTGTATTATTTTTTTTTTAATTATTTTCTAATAATATGCATGATTGTTTATATTCTATGAAAGAAGAGTGCTCAAGTGTTTCGTGATTCATATCCTCAATGAGGAACCTTTCAGTGTTAATGTTCAGAACCTTATGAATGAATTTTTTAATCATAGTGTGACGTATTAAATATACAAAGAATAATTGTAGAAATAGTTAAATAATTAGAAATTCATTTCCAATTTATGATGCAAGATCGATGAATTATTTCTTCTGGAATATTGTTGCAACGGAGACAGGGCTTGACAAGTTTGACATTATGATTATTGTTAATAACTATGGGTATAATATAGCAATGTGAATAAAGAATTAATTCAATTTGTATTCGTACTAATTCCAATTAATATGGTTTATTGAAAGAATGGGTCAAGTCCATACCAAATAGATGTATACATCCATGTAACGTGACTCTTATCACGCATAGATAAAAACTATGATGCTAGTTCGGCTACGTTTCCATGACGTTTTTCTCCCTCTGTTTATCTCTGTCATGACGCGTAAAATTTCTTATTTAAATAAAATCTTATATATATATATATCGAAATATCTAATTTGTATATGCTATTTCAATTCAAATCAAATTGTGCAAGGATTGATTCGTGAAACAACATACCCTCCAATTTTTAACAATTAAAACAGCGATTGTTCTCGTTCGTATTTATTTGCCCCTCGCTTGCAAAAAATATTTGCCGCCACATTCCCATTCAGGTTCGATGCGAGAATAAGCTATCATGAATATCAATGGCCAGTTGAGAAAAACAAAACCTTTTTCGGCATAAAAATTTAATTCAACACTTTCTGGTATGCATATATTATTTGCATATATTATTCTCAAATGATATTTTAACTATTCGGTCAAAACTCGTTACTCACAGAGATTTAGTTCGGGATAAAATGAGAACGTTAGATGAGATACGAGGACAGGAAGAGGAGAAAAAAAAAAAAAACATAAAATGAAAGAAAAATCTGGCGATAAGCCGTTGTAAATACCGAAGCTAATGTCGATCCTTCGTTCATAAAGGTTTATCGAGGATCTTGACTTACCTTCTGATAAACGAAGGGCCTAGTCAAGGCTAGCCACCTTTCAGCTGCCATTACGATGGCGACACAACCACTGAATAAACCGAAAAGCCTCCACACCACGCGAAGAGAGCAGAATCCTCGAGTGGATATCACGCTGCCCACATAGATCGTGATATACATTTGCACCAGCATCCCTAACAATGCGACGAGATCGTTGATCGCCAGGCAACGCAACATCAACAAGTGTTTTCGATTTCTTCTCTGAAACAATTTATTTCAATTACGTAATGGCTATTTGTTACTCTTCGTTTCCAAGAATTGTCTTCATCTTTTTACTACTTTGACACATTGGACTTATTTTCTGTAAATAATTTATCACGCGTGTGTTAAATTTCTTTATTATATCCGATTGATATATATATCTATTAGTCATCGACAATTAAAATCGCAGTTTTTACGAAGACAAATATTTATCCGAGTGTACAGATAATAGTATTTACTATGATTACTATCGATTATCAATTAAATTTTACGGAATCGCTTTATATACTTTCCGATAATAGTAACATAAATAACTTTTCTCTTTTCTACTAATACATGAATCATTATCGATATATATAAATATGATTAATCGATCGTTATTTCCGTTTATTTTTTAAAAAAGTAACACGATGCAACAGATTTTTTCTTTTATTATTACCTTATCACGATGAAAGAGAATGACTAGAGCAGATATGTTGCCAATCACACCGGTTATGTACACAAGTGTAAGCACCACCTGAGCGGCGAAAGTCACGTGCCTCTTTGACATCAGTACAGGGTGAGATATTAAAAGGGGAGCGATCCGCGTCGAATTAATCATCGGCAAGGTTTCGTTCCAAATCTCCGTCGAGGTGAGCGACATTTTCTACGACTCTCGTTTCTCCTTTACGCAATAATCGATATTTCAAGCGTGTGTATCTTATCCAATCTCCAATGAAGAATCTCCAAACAATGCCCAATATCTTGTTGAATTGTTTCGTTCTCAAGCGAAAATCTCTAAAGCACGATGTCGTGAAAAACGATTCTTCAGAGACTTCATTGTTCATATGAATCACTCTGGCCGACAGTCGTTGATTTTGTCGAGCAATCGTCGATTCTCCCCTATATCCTTTTCGTTTCCTCTTTGCAAAAGTAGGGAGTTCAAATAGAGGAAAGGACAGCTCGAAACTTTTCTGCTAAAACATCATTTCGCGGCGACAATTTTTTTCAGAGTGACTCGGTGTTGATCTTCGGTTCGTGTATCGTTACACGTTATCATGTATCTTTGGTACACTATTATCGCCCTCTTGCTCTTCAACAGGCGCTGTTGCTGTTATTCAGGCCACTGCCTCGAGTTTCTCGAGAAACGTGACAACGTTGTACTTGGACCCTTTTGTAAGACTACCTGCACTTAGTGGAGCCCTTATTCAAGCCAGAAAGCTGCATGTGCAGCAGGCCACAACCAGCGCAACGGTCCAACAGCTCGTATTCATCGAACGATCGAAATAAATCTCAGTGAAACCTGTTGCTACGCGTTGATCAGTTATATCTTGGTGAGCCCTTCAAGCCCTGAATTACGCCAAAGATCTTTCTCAGTGAAGAAAGCGAAAGAACAGAATCGAATCTCGAAGATGGTTTCCTCAAATCGCCTGTTGAACACACACTCTCTCTCTCTCTCACTCGTTTGGACGGTAAGAAAACAATCTTTGCTCATTCAATTTGTTTCTTGGTTAATTGGATATTGTAAGCAAACTAATTTGATCGACTGTCGATGAAATTGTGCTTTTCAATTCCTTTCCAAAACTTCGATCATCCCGAGTGAAATCGTCGACTTTATTTCTACAGCTCTACACGTTCTTCTCGTTCTTTCTCTTCTCTTCCTACGAGAAGATATCGATGGAGAATTAACGGTGCGAACTTGCGATTTCCTCCAATCGAATATATGGAAAAAGTGAAGAGAAAAACAGCTCCACTACTTCCGTCGATCGCGAGAGTCGTCGCCACACTGGTCAAACCACGCGGTTGCCTCCGGTTTTGTTTACAATCGATGTACCCTTGCCGGTACGCATGCGCCGTATTTTGAAGTCGGCGTCTGTTTGGCGCCATACCTTCGAGACACTGTTAACGATGAACTGCGCGACTTCCTTCATCGCAAGACATTCAACTTCGTTCGATATCTTTGGAATAAATGAATGCTTCGATTTAAGGTAAGAAACAATAGTAATGATAAAAGTATGCATAGAAATACAATAATGATAATAGATATGATAGAGAGTTATATACTGATTTAAAGTGTGAAATAATAAAACTATTGTATGAAAAATGAATATTATTGTACGATGAAAATGAGTTGAATTTTCGCCTGAATATTTATAAAATGTTATATAACAATGAAGAAATTTTTAAATATAAAATCGAACATTCAAGAATAATAATATTAAAAAGGATCATTTATCGATGATGATTTAATCCATTACATTAAGATAAAGTTATATAATTAAGTTTAGATCGTATTAAAGTCTTATTAAATATATAAAGTCTTTTATTCCACAGATAATTCTCCCGTGTGATACAGAAATAGTTACAGAATCTGGAACAATCCTCGAACGCATAGACACGGTTTGGTAAGAATTTCGTTGATATGCAGGTATTCGATAAATAATGCATCGTACATATATTTTTCGTATACAACGCGGCACATTCGTGTTGATAAATAATTTCAAGCACGACAACGATAAACGTTCGATACGTGTGCTAAGCGTGTGCACACTTCTCTCAAGGATGCAGGGCACAAAGGACATGGGTTCAATAAGAGAATGACAATGTACTTATTAGGATTAGTCAGGACTTGTAATTCAATTCAACAGAAACGACGAACAATTTATTTTATTTTCAATTGTCTTGATTTTTTGGCCCGATTCCCAGGTATTTAATAATTTTAATTAGTAACTTAAGTGATGATTACTCTCTTTGTATGAGTATTTATTCTTTAATTTCTTTGATATTGTGATTTATAGGTATACCAAATTTTGCAAAAATGATATTTTTTTATTGCGATTCGTTATATCTTTAATGAAATGTAGAAAAATTCAAGAGAAAAAGAAAATATCAATGGAAAGCAGGTTCGTGTGCATTTGTGTCGTTGCATAGAGGTCGCCACAAGTTCATCGAATTATCTCGAGGTGAATGAACTATTACGTTCCCCGAGATGGACCAATAATTGATGTCTTTTTTATCCAATCAACTAGACTTAACTGGACACAAACTTTATACTAGGTTAAATATTAAGGTAGGTATTTATATACACAATTTTTAAATTTTGTTAATAATTAACGTTTCAAAACATTTTATAAATTTATTTTTTAAAATGGTTAATAGTCAACTTTTACTTATCATTAATATGGTTTTTGTCTTTACTTCATTAAATCTTTTATAAGGTTTCATTCATTTCCGAGGAAAGCAGATACTCTTTAAAGAATTTTTTAATACTAAATATAATATAGATGGTCATACAGTTTCGTTTCTGGGTACGGCAAAACGGAGTTAATTAAATGTCGGACAGAGGAGTTAGTGTTATGATCATTCGCAAGAAGGTTTTTCTTTCTTGCGTTATCAAAGAAGACCGTCAACGAATTGCAGCCGTGTGCTCTTAGAAATCAGTTTGAATGTTAAACAGAGTAATTATACCGATTAAATTGTGCATATAAAAATCATTAAGCCATCGAGAGTACTATGAACCCCTTTTTGATCGACATTGATTCAGATTAAAAAATTGTAATTATTCATCTTATTGATCGAATTGAAATTTCAATTGTATAACATCTGTAAGACATTTCAACGATACTTAATGTATATCATAAATAAGAAATTTTGAAATATGGAAATTATTATTTGATGAAAAATCCACAATATTAATACACAAGACAAATTACATTGTAATTCGTTCATATGAAGTACAATTTAATATTCAGGACATAAATTAACACAGATAATTAACCGGTCAGAGAACCAGATGTCCTTGAAAGAAGGGACGAAAACGAACTTTCTACGTATTAAATCAAAATTGTATATACATCTCGAACAATATTACTTATTATTGTGTACGATGTATATCAAAGAGAGCACGAAATCGAACAATTGGAGTAACTATAATTTACCATCGAGCGCTTGTCTTTTTCTGTTCACAGCCGGATCATAAAATCAATAGATAGAATAATTGCGGGGGTATGGAACCCCTCTGTGACACGATCACCATTCGTCCATCCACGATTCTCTGAAAAGACGATTATAATTATCGATGAAAAGACCAAATTGAAATGTTTCGAATCGTCACAGGCTATTTTTAATGCCCGCCGATAACGTGAGAGATCATCTTTGCGAATGCAAAGCGTACATCATCCGTATTCGTACGATGATAAGAGAATGCAACGCTTATAACGAAGGTTTATCTTTAGATGGCGAAAGGCATAAACATACAATGGGTGATACCGAAACAAACGAGGAAATTAATTTAAATAAAGAGAGTCAAATCGGCGCCATTCTTGCATAACGATCGATGCTGCTTCTCTGATACATACGTGCCGCGAATGCATTGCATCCACCGCGAAAATTCTTGTTAGAGGCATGCTCAATTTTAAAATAGCCCTCTGAAGTATTTATAGGAAACATTGTAAGACATAAATATATATGGAAAATCCAAAACCACAGCTAGTGGTTACAATTTGAACTGCTTTGTGAATGAAATCATTGTTTTAGATTCGATATTTTTAATCGTATTTATAAAAATGTCAACTTTCTTTTTGTACAAATATTCTCGGTTTATTAATAATTTTAAAAGAATTGTGGTGTAGTTTTGATAAACGTACAAAAATTGGTACGAATATTATTTTACACAACATTTCAAATGTGTAAAAAGAAAGAAATAATTAAATGTAAAAATGATGCTTATCAAGAGCTAGAAATGAATTAAAGTCTAACAGTTATGTTTTAATTTTCAGCTATAGATGGCAGATACTGTACTTCTTTGGACAAAAATAAAATTCTAACGATTATGGGAGGATAAACGAAGATAAATGTAGTTTATGATTTCACATTGTGATAATTATCATTATTGTTAAAAAAGAATGATCAATCTAAATATAATTAGTACAACAAATGTTATTCCATCTTAATTTTTAAGATAAGAATCAGGTATAAGAATATTAAATTAATTATTTCTCCAGAATGTCATAAAATATTTTTATTTGCAAGATCTCTTTCATTATCTGATATAATTAATTCGAATTATCAATTTTTAGATGAAGCACATGCTTGCTATTTTTATCAGAGATATTCATATCACGACGTCACGATATTTTCACGAATCTGATTAGAATGAGTGATGAGATACTAACAATAAGAGCTCCTGACATTGGGAAAGAGTCAGCAGAAGTATGATTAGTAGATCATTCTGTTTGATAAACATTAAAACTATAATTAACTCTTTTTTTAAGATAAGTTTTTATTATTATCTTTTATATTTTATTTTTTGTTGCTTTTTTATTTTCTAAAAACCAGTATATAAAAAATTATTTATTATATAAAAAATATTATTATTATAAAAAATAAATATTCATTTTAAAAGGATTATATAATGATGTAATTAAATCAAAATTAAAATTGTTTTGTGTTAAAAATAATAAAATTAATTGATAGTATTTATTATTAAAATTATTATTTATATAATACACAAAGATTATAGATAAAGTAATCCTTATAAATTACTTGTTTAAGTTCCAATAATTCTAAACTATTTTTAGTAAAAACTATCTAATTTTTCAAATAACTTACTTCAAAATATCTTTATTTCTTTGATATTATTTAAAAATACATAATTATGATAATTATGATATTTATTAATTTTTAAATATTAATCAATTCTATATTTTTCTGTTTATTCAAGATTAAAGCAGATAATGATAATAAAAAACGGAAGAATATAAACATCATTTACGATGGAAGAAAAAGAAATGCGGAAGATTAGATATTAAAATATACATGATATTGAAGAAATGTAATGAAAGAAAGTGCATTTCATTATGCTTAACAAAGCATTAAAGATAAACATAACAAGATTTCATTTACTAAAAGAAAATTGAGTTTACATCTAAAATTGTATTATTCATTTTCAAGTAAAAATATCAATGAGAGAAGATTATAGAAATAGCGATATAAAAATAATTATACAGTTTTAAAACAAGTAACAATATATGAAAATATATTTTATTATAAAATTTCAAAAGACTAATTATATATGATTACATGAATTTTTTGAATCAAACTTACCATAAAATTTAAAAAAAGCAGGATAGGAATATTTTCGTTATAAAATTTCAAAAGATTAATCATATATCATTACACGAGTTTGAATGAAACTTTCAACTTTTCTTTCGTATTTTACTATTTTTTAATTTTCTTACCAATAAAAATTTATATCTAAAATATATCTATAAAAAAATATATATATATTTCAATCGGATATACAGAACTTGAATTAACAGAACTAAACAAAATTAAAGGAAAAGATTTCTCACTATTAATTTTTTTCTTAATATTTATTATCATTATATTTCAATTGAATATTTCTATTATAAGAAGTGTAAATTATTATTGTGAAAGCATACAATATAAAAATTATTTAAATTAATGAATTATCAATATTTTATTAAATAAAGAAGAATTAAGAATAAAAGATGGACAAAAGCAACCATTAAACCTTGATCTACACTTGACATTCACACGGCCAAGTGCATAATAATATCTCTGGCGTTAAACTTTAAGCATCAAGTAAACGTGTTTGGATTTAACTACATAGTTTTCTTCCATAATATATTGATGTATTTCTATTAATTTATAATGTCGAAACAACAATCTGTTTAATTTAAAAATGATCAAGAACTGCATGACCATGTTTCTTAACACACCTATACAAAATAAGAGGCACGATTTCACTGTAAAATCGGTGTAACGGAATGTTTTACTATTACATCACTCGTATTTAAAACTTGATCCATAGCAAACTTGATCCAATCATAGATATCTGAAAACAGTTAAAACAATTTTACGATAATTAAAATAAATATAATCAAATTGGAATTTATTATCCCTATTCAATTTCATAAAACTCTAGAATATAAAAAAATTTCTAATTTCAATTATCAATTATCATTTAAAGACCAAGTAAAATAATTTTTTTAATTAATATATCAACGATTAAACAAGTTTCTTGATTTAAACTTTTAATTCTTCTATTTCATATTCCATTTTACTCTTTAATCTTTTTTAAAACTACTTAAAAAAATATTTATTTATACACACATAAAGGCAATATTTCAATCAAACATACGCACAACTAGAATCGAATCGTTATGTTAATTTTTTCGTTATGTTACTAATTATTACTAAAATTATTTGATGCAGCGTAACGTTGATAGAACGAGGATACAATCAATTTCGAAGAAACCAGAGAGAGGAGATAAAAATCTGTAGATAGAGTTGTTTTGTCAAATCTTTCGAAGACCTAAAAACCAGTCGATCCTCCCAACCTGTCGATCAATTCGCTCGTGAATGAACGCACGACGATCCCGTTATCGTTTCATCCGAGTGGGTCACCGACACTTCGACAGGATTTTACTCATAGCCGCTTCGAACGTGCGCGTATCGAGCCTATGAGCAAACCGTTCCCGTTCAAGCTTGGTGGGGACTTGGACAGGACCGTCTCCTCTCAGGAAACAAGACACCTGTGTAATTTCTAATATTCTTAAACAATTTCTACAAATAGAAATATCACTTTTGCGAACTTAAACCTCGCAAGTTTCAATTCCTACTTGGAAATTAGAGTCAAGATATTTCAGACGCCGATATTTCTTTACAAAGAAAAAGATAATTC